CTTGCCGGCCGGTGTCTTGGATACCACCGCCGTCGCCGCTGCCACAGGCTTGACATCAACATCAACACCAGCACCAGCACCAGCGGCCTCTTCCGGCCCAGAGAACTTTGTCGTCTTCTTCCCCGTGCTGGGCGGCCGGCCCACCGACTTCTTCCCGGTGGTGCCCTTGCTCTTGCCGGGGGACGCCGGAGCTGCCGCTGCCGCTGCCGCTGCCGGAGCCTTCGTCCTCTCGGCGCTCTTCTTGCCACCGCGCTTAACCTTCCTGCCGGAGCTCGTGTGCGTCGGTGCCGACTTGGGCGCCGGAGGGGTTACCGGCGAGGAGGGCACGAGGTACGCGCCGTCGCTCCCCTGGTGCTTTCTCAGTATCTCCTCGATGAGGGGCTTCCACTTGGGCATCCTCCTCACGCACTCGATTGACTTCGACCGTCGTTTGGGTGGACGAATGGGCGGTGCATACGTAGCCGAGGACAAAAAAGTGCGAGAGCGGGGGGGGGGGTGTACACATGTTGTGCATGCCTTGGTTGTTACACCGTTGACCACGCGTTCTCGAGAGCAGCACTGTTCTGTCCACAGGACCCATCACCGATGACCAATCGTTCCTTCCTGCTTTGCCAAAGATGGGTCAAAAGTGTTTTCCCTACCCGCGTCTCCTTTACCATAGCTACCGCCTTCGTCCTGGCTGTTGCGTACCAAAACAACATGGAATGTCTGTCTGCATAGCCGCCCTTTTATTTTCTGAGTCAGCTCAGTCATGTACGTTTCTCTCTCCTTTTCGGAAAGCGGATATCCCCCAACAACAATACATGAACCCGGGCCGGGGGAGGGGGGGGGGGGGTGTACTCATAGTCGTGCATGCCGTAGTCGTTAGACCATTGACCTCGCATCCCTACAAAGCCGGGACGGAGCACGCGGGGTTCTCACCGGCCCAGGGGGGGGGGGGGGGGGCAATCAACAAGGATATGGTGTCTTAAGATGGGTGAACCCACAGCGGTACCGCTAGACAGACGTCGCAAGTAGGATCTGCGAGTCGACTCTGTATTTCTACCGCTAAAGGCACCAAGCCCAAACAACACAGCGAGTTACGCCACTAAGTTTGTGTGCAACGGCGGTGGTTCCCAGCAGCAGCAGAGGTGTCAAAAGTTGGTTTCAACAGCAAAATACTACCTAGTAGTTAGCACCATTCGGGCCGCAAAAAAAAGAACCGTCCTACCGCTGCTACCGGCACGCCGCCCGCCGCAAACTCCGAGTGGGCCGCCACCGGCACACCCGCCTGCTGTGCTGCCTGTCCTCCTCTCCCAAACTCACGTGCTTGATAGAGTCGAAGTAGTCTATCCGCAATCGGTTCCCCTGCCCCCTGATGACCCCGGTGGGGAAGTAGTAGCGGGCGTGGCGATCACCCTGCATCACATGGTGCATCTTCCACCCGTCCTTCACTGCTCGCGCGCGCGCGGGGGGGGTGTTGCAGCAGAGGGGGGGCGCGGCGGAAGGGGACCGAGAAAATCAAGGACAGCGCGACCTGCCATCACCATGAGGAGCCTTTTTTCTGCTTGGTGGTTGCGAAACCCGTTCCAAGAACGATAGGTCGGTCTCTTCGGAGGGAAGGGAGAAGTCACAACGAACGAACGATGATGCCATCGTTCCGCCAAGCGCCTCCGCCGCAACAGACGGCGGGGGGCAACCGGCCCGCCCAGAAGGAAGGGTACAGGTTATACGGTTAGCACATTTTTTTCCGTCTCACGTTGCTAAAAAATCGTGTGCCCGCTGGAGAGAGAGAGACGGGGGAGAGAGTGACACAACATAGTCGGTGAAAAAGGGCCGCGGGACCCCAGAACAGCGGTGGAGAAAGGAGCCGGAAAGCAGCAACATGAAGGGCACCGCAACATACACCCAGGCGGCCAAAGTACCGCCACCACGACAACGACAACACCAACAACAGCAACAGCAACGGCGGCAGCAACACAACCACCACCACTACCACCAACAACAGGCGAGGCCGCACAGCAACAGCTGCTTCCCCGCAGCCCTCGCACAAAAGACGGGAACGCGCGATGAAGAACCAGCAGCGAAAAAAAAAAATAAGAGACCAACAAACACAACAACAAACACACTGTAGGTATTGCGTTCCCAAAAATGAAAGAAAAACACTGTAATTTATCGACCCACAGCAGCTGCCGTCTACCACTGAGGATCTGGGGTTAGAATACCTCCATACACCACAAATACAACACTCACGCAGGTGGGGCCACACGTCCTTCCAGAATGCGTGTCTGAGGATCATGGCCTTATCCTTGACCCTCAGCTGCTTCGCCTTAACAGGCATCCGTTTCGCGAGCAGGCTGAACTTCCCCTTGCTGCTGCTGCTGCTGCTGTTGCCATCGCTTTTCGGCGAAGCACCTGAGCCGACTTCGGTGCCGGCAGCGGCGGCATAGCTCTGCTACAGACGGTGACCACAGAAACGGAGGCAAGAAACAAGAAAAGAAAACCAAAAATCGCGCGACGTCCGGAAAACAAAAAAAAGTAACCGCGAATTTTGTGTCTGTGTGCAGGTAGTCCTCCCCAAAACTAAAAGGGGCAAATAACAAACATTGACATTGGTTGAGCTTTTTATTAAACATTTTTTGTTTGTTTGTTTAAATGTATACACGGTAGTACTATTCTCATGTTCTAATTTTTGGTTTGGGGGAAGACGTACATGAGCCAAAAGCATGAGCACACCACCGGTTTTGGCGATTGGTGATCGACGGAGGGGTACCAACAGACAGATATGCTACTTGTCCAAAGGCGGGGGGGGGTAGTGCTCAGGGCCATGTGCAATCAATGCTGACCTTGCATGCCACGGGGCAAGGTTGTCGTGCAATATCTACCTACCCTGCGATGCACGCGGACGATACATAGTTCGCGCCTACACCCCCCCCCCCCCCCCCCAGGTAACAAAGTCAAT